GTAAAATGGTGATACATGCCATCGGTCTGACTCAGAAATACTGGAGATTCTAATCGAGGTCTTCATCTTCTTTAGCAAGGCTGTAAGATCCTCCAAGCTAGATAAGAAACTCCCAAACACTCCCAACCATATTACTACTACTATCTTAATTTGTAAGTGCTTTACAGATTACAAAGTCTTCACGCACAAATTCTCTCATTTATAATTTCCTGGTTTACTTACACTTTATTTTTTTTTTGAGATGGAGTCTCGCTCTGCCACCCAGGCTGGAGTGCAGTGGTGTGATCTCAGCTCACTGCAACCTCTGCTTCTTTGGTTCAAGTGATTCTCCTGCCTCAGCCTCCCGAGTAACTGGGACTATAAGCACGTGCCACCATGCCCGGCTAATTTTTTGTACTTTTAGTAAAGACAGGGTTTTACCATGTTAGCCAGGATGATCTCGATCTCCTGACCTCGTGATCTGCCCGCCTCGGCCTCCAAAGTGCTGGGATTACAATCGTGAGCCACCGCACCCAGTCACTTACACTTTTTATTAGAGTTCCTATTCTAGGCAAAGTCAATGGGAGATTTAAAAATACGTGAGGCCGGGCACAGTCGCACAAGTCTGTAATCCCAGCACTTTGGGAGGCCGAGGCAGGTTAATCTCCTGAGGTCAGGAGTTCGAGACCAGCCTGGCCAACATGGTAAAACCCCCGTTTCTACTAAAAATACAAAATTGGCCAGGTGTGGTGGTGTGCGCCTGTAATCCCAGATACTTGGGAGGCTGAGGCAGGAGAACCACTTGAACCTGGGAGGTGGAGGCTGCAGTGAGCCAAGATCGTGCCACTGCACTCCAGCCTGGGCAAAAAAAGCAAAACCCCTTCTCAAAACAACAACAACAACAACATTAATATGATAGGATTTCTGCTCTTAAATATAGCTGGAAATATGGCAGGGCTGAGAGAATTCTTCAAGGGCAAATTTGAAGGACAAATGCTCAGTTCGTCTGTCTGCTCCACCCACACTTGTCCCATTTGTTTTGCCTGTACCCTGTGCTTTCTTTTATTTGCAGTGCCCCGTCACTGAGTCAGTCAGGACTGTGGTGACGCTCATGCCTGGGGTGCACAGCATGCTGGGTTCTAATCCTGCTGGCCATATAGCTCCCACTCTTGTGCACAGGGCAAGGACTCTGCAAATAGGAAATACATCAACCATATTCTCTTTTCTTACGTACCAATATTCTGAACACATTTTTCTCCAGGCTGGCAAATGAAAATACAAAAGAATTGCAAAATGAAACAGGTTGCGCTGAAAGGCAATAACTCTTTCCTCCATTTTTAAAGAAGAAGAAGAAAAAATGGAGGATACAATAAAAATAAACACTGGATTCCCTCTTATTCCGTAGGGGTAGAAGAATTCTGGGAAATAATTCCCTGTGATAATAATTATATGCCTGAAGTATGTGAAGCTGTTTGAGAGACCGTGGGTTAAATTTAATTACTATGAAAATAATATTACCAGAAGACTGGATATGATAATAGAAGTTATGAAACAAGAAGTTCTTTTTATATATCAGTTATTTTTAATTAATTAAAACAAAGAGTTATTTTTCCATACATTATCTTTCAAATTGGTTCTTCCGGCCTTCGAAAATCGTTGGTGAAACAGATGGTGGCATCTTAATAAAACAACATATCCACAATCATATGGTGGCAGACACTTCCAATGACATGAACCTTTCTTATTCCTAGACCAAATTTTGCTCATAATCTGAGATGTCTCAATATCTGGGGTAATTTTCCCTTATGTTCTTATTTTTTAAAAGGGAAAGGAAATGATTTTCAAGAAACTATATTTCTAACATATCTTGTTTCCTGAATTGAGTCTAAAGATGGTCCCAGACGAACGATGGTTTGACTTAGGATTTCTCAACTTTATGATGGCATGAGGGCAACAGGCACTCTGTACAAACCATACTTCGAGTACCCATACAATCACTGTGTTTTCCACTTTCAGTACAGCGTTCAACAGGTTACATGAAATAGTCAATACTTTATTATAAAACAGGGTTTGTGTTAGATGATTTTGCCCAACTGTATTCTAAGGGTAGTGTTCTGAGCACATTTAAAATTGGCTAGCTAAGCTCTATGTTCTGTAGGCTGGGTGTACTGCGTTAAATATATTTTCAACTTATGATGGTTTTACGGGAATGTGACCCTGTCCTAAGTCGAGGAGCATCTGTCCTTCTTAAAAACGCTATTGACGTGACATCTCTGTAATACATCCCTTCCCCCATCCCTGTTCGTTCCTTAGGGGATGGACCAGCTCTGAAGATCTCAGGGAATGGGGAGCCAAAAGCAGAGGGGTGAGAGTGTTGGAAAGGAGAAGAGAGACTCCTCTCTGGGCCAGTTTGTGAGTTCAGCCAGAACACAGGAAGAAAGAGCCCCAGACCTGAGTCCCTTACTCTGTGACGAGAAGCAGTTCTGACCTAGCTTGGGATAAAGGGACCCGCTGTCTGCATGGCCACCTAGCGTGAGGCACTGAGAGGGCCACAACAACAGTGACGACGTGGGCAGATGGGTCAGTAGTGACAGGATGCACACATGGACGTTCAAATCATGAGGCACGAAGAGCCCATCTGCGCTGACTGCGGGCTGTGGTACAAGAGGTGCCAGGATGAGCGTGGCGCTTTCATGGCACGGATGGGGGTAGCTGAGTGTAGTTCTGAGAAGCGGATGGCATCTGAGGTGGGGTGGGGCAGGCTGAGGGCTGTTCTCCTGGTTCCTGCTGAGGCTCATCCCCTGCTAATTGTCTTCTCCAGATTATCCTGTTACTGCATGGCTATGTATTAGCTCTTTGTTTGCCTACAACACATATGTGACACTGATCCCAATGACAAAGAAATCATGCTGACTTCATTTGCAGGAAAATCTTTAAAAAAAAAAAAAATATATATATATATATAAAAATATATATAAAATAGGTGAATTTCTGGAAACAAAAAAGATTGATATAAACTTGGTTTGGGAAAACAGCACCTGATCTTAAAACTCTATGGGAATCTTTCATGTTCAGATGTGATGAGGAAGGAAGGACAAGGAAATGAGTGACTGGGCCTGAACATGGCCACCCCAGTAGTTCACCCAAATCCCTTTACTCCTACTTGTTAATAAGCAGCACGCACACATGCAGCGTTCACTCAGCCAATGGTTCTTATGCTTTGCAGTGTTCTGTCACTGTGGAAAGAGTTAACTCAAACACAGTTCCTACACCCACGGAGGATGGCAGTCTAGTGAAAATGTGGCAAGAGTGATGGGGACATGTTACAGCCAGGACTTTGCATACAGTGTCTGGAAGACAAGAGAGGGGCTGCCATAAACATGACTCATATGCACGGACTTGTGCACTCCACAAGCTGCCTGGCATTGATGCTGGGCTGACAGTGCTGAGCAAAAGCAAATCTAGTCCTCATCCTTGACCTCCTGGAGCCTGAGCCAGAGAACCATGATGCAGATCAGAACAAAATACATTAACAGTTACAAGTGGTGTAAGTGTCACTATGGAAACGTGTATGGGGCTGTGAGCTTACAGGACTAGGGAGTACCTTGCTGGGGTCCAGGCGAGTGAGTGCAGATCTTAAGACAGAGGGACAGCATGAGCACCAGGGAGCAGAGCATTTAAGAAGCTGGGAAAACGCCAGAGTGACACCACCATCCCAAATGGGAAGGTGACAGGACATAAGGTGAGAAAGGGAGGCAAACACAGGCTATGGGAAGGATGCTGGACTTTAGCCCAAGAACAATAAGAAACAACTATAGTTTTTTCCTTTTCCTTCTTCTTCCCTTTAAAAAATTTAAAAAAGGGAGCAGGGTGGTGTTGGGCAGTTTCAGAGTGCTTACCCAGAGCTGACCTGTAAGTTGAATTTTGAAGGATGAATAAAACTTTGCTAATAAGGGAGGAAAGTGTGTTCCAAACATAGGAAGCAATATGGAATCACATGAAGGTCTATAGCCCTGTGGCACTATTAATATGCAGGAAGTTGGATTTGCTGACATGAAGAGCAGACAGGAAGCGAGGGGGAAGAACAAGAGTGTCATGTGAAGCTAACAATGAGTTCCCTTCCAGAAACCACGTGGTGCCACTGGCACATTTGAAGCAAGGGGGTGGAGTGGCTGGGTGAGACCGTGCAGGTTCTGGAGTCAAAGATTGGGTTCACTTCTCTGTTCTCCTTACAAGGTCTTTAATTTGGAGAAACCACTGAACTTCCTCTTCCTAAGAATCCCCCAACTACCACATTTATCCTAGTGCCCAGCACACAGCTAAGTGAGTTGCTGCTGTACTTGAGAAACCTCACAGAGAGGAGGCACGGTACAGTGGGGACTGACAGTGGTATACAGACACAGCCATCCAGGTGAGAAGTCAGGATGGGATGGGCGAAGGTAGTGAGGGTGAAGGGGAGGGAACGGGCCTGGGAGGTGTCCAGGCAGAACGCGGGGAAGTTGGGGCGAGGAAGGACAAATGCCCAGTTCCAGCTCTGGTGTGGCAGGTCTGGGTGGATGTGGAGCAGCTGCCTATGTGCCTCTGAAGAACCCTCACAGGAGGCAGGTGAGTAATGTGTCTGGTGTCTGGAAGAGGGGCTGGGGCTGGAAACAGAGACTTGGGAGCAAACACAGAGGTGGCAATTGAAACCATGGAATGTGATAAAATGACAGGGAAAGTACAAAGAAGGAAATGGGTGAAGGACGAACCACAGAGATCTGAGGTGCATGGACATACTTTTAGTACGTCAGAGCCTCAAGAGAAAACAGTCCTTGCGACACAGGAAAGGAGGCGTCTCACCCTCCCCTAACCCTCCGTGCTGAGACTGACGGTCATGGTCAGGATTCTGCGGCTCACAGCAGGCAGAGCTCGTGAGCAATGCCCCTTCCAGAAGGCTGCCTGATCAGGGTCTGCTCTGGTGTGGTTATACCCGCACTGGGAATTTCCTTCAAGTTTCAAGTTTGAGGAGACAGCATGCCATGCTCACTATGTCAATGTCACCACAACTCCCGAGACCCGCCCCGTGCTGGAAGCTTTTGATTCTTAGTCTGAGGAGGAGAGAAACAGAACACTAGACTTCAGGACACAGTGAGTGCTCAAACAAGATTTGTTGGATGAATAAAAGACAACTGGACTAACACAGGAGAATCAATGATTCTTTCTGGGTCTAATCTGTGTGCAAGGAATTGTTTTCTCATTTAATTTAGCTTTTTGTTTAGTCAAGGGCAAAGAAGATCTTAGTTAAGAGACACTTCTGCCTATAGAAGTGATATCTGGTTAAAACAATATCACTCTTAGGAATCAGATGTGGAGGACGGTTAACTGTATAGGGAAAATATCTGAGTGAATATGCAGAAAAATGTATAGAATCCTTAAGTCAGTAACTATGCTACAGAGTAATATTCATAATTACAATGAATTGATCACATAAGTTAACTTGGAATAAACTAAGTCAAAGGGAGAGGGTGGTAAACCCTTTCAGAACATTACACCAGAAACAAAAGAAAAATATACACGGCTTGATACAAGCATCAGTGATGTCTAATGAGGGCAGCAGTCATCCAATAAATTAAAAAAAAAATTACTCTGAGAGCAGACATAATCAACTAATTGAGCACTGAAGAACATTAATAGGCAAATTATTAACATTAATATAGAAAAGATACATCCAAATTGGAAGAAGAAGAGAGAAATAAGCAGATATAGAGGGCTACACATTAGGTTAAGACCCAGATCCAGGTACCTGCTTTCAGATCATGCGTGCAATGTTCGGATGCTCTCAGGAAGTGATACTGTACGAAAAGGTACTCAAGGAAGATGTCTTCCTCATACCAAGAAGGCAGTGTCCTCTATGTTTGATGCTTCATTTGGAATGACTTTTCTTCTTCCAACGATATTCCCATAACCTTAGTTTGATTTGTTCTCTCTAATCCAACATATTCAACCTAACACTAAGGCCAGCCAATTCTGTTTATCAACATGCCTCAAAGCCACTCCCCTTCTCCCTGTGCTGTCACATTGCTCTAGCCAGGCCTCTGGCATCATCTGAGTAAACTCAACTAGGGCAATGGCCTTCTGACTGGCCTCCATGTCTTCAGCATCTTTTCTATACGGGGTGAGCTAGCTAAAGGAGTGTCTGCAATCTGCTGAAAACACCTGAATGGCTTTTCAATGCCGAGGACCACATTCTAGCATCTTATCTTAGCACAGCATATGGAGCTCTCTGTGATTAGCAGTCCCACCTTCCTCCACCCTCATCTCCCACTACATGCCATCAGCAAAACCAGAGTGTCAGCAAAACCAGAGTTCCTGACAGCCAACACCAACTACGCTGCGTTTCTCATCTGCTCCTGCCTCCCTTCCCCAGCGAGTCCCTACTAGCCCTTTATAGCTCAGGTCAGCCACCACTACTTTCTTCAGCTCCGATCCCCTTTTGGGTTAGGCTGCTGTCTCTCCTATCTGCTTCCACAATATTCTGTTCATTTCGCTATTGGTATTTTGTCAACATGCTGTTGTAGAAATTTCAGGGAATCTATCAGTCCATATCCTGAACTACAGGTGCTTCTTGGGCAAAGGTTATGTTTTGTTTATCTCCACATCCTCAGCAAGGAACAATGAGTCTGGCACAAAGCAGGTACCCAATAAATGTTTGCTGAATGAAACATCAAACAAGCATCATATCAAAGCTACATACTACAGTGATAGAGTTCTTTGGATGACTAACAAATACCTGGCTGAGAATATGGTTCAACAAGTTTAACTGAGTTGGCAAAGTGACAGTTAGTTATGAGAAATTTCAAAGATTTGGCAGCTGGACTACCAGTGTAAGAGACAATCATGTAGTAATTAATTCATCTGTATCTACTGAAATACAGAAATGATTTTGGAGCACTTACTAGAATACCAAATATTCTGCTAGAAAGTTCTGCAACTGTAGTAATCTCACTTTACAGATGACACACAGGGAGTATATGATTTATACCAAAGTCACCGAATAAAAAAATTAGTTGGCCTAAAATTTGAGCCAAGGTTTCTTAAAGGCCAGAAATCTTTCTAAGACTGCCTCACTCATGATACTCATCCATTATAGTGAAAACAACATGTAAGTCAAAGTAGTTCAGGAGTCACAATTTTGGGGACAGATGGGGTGAAAAGAAAATTAGGGGAAACTTCTAGAAGGAAGTCACTGCGATTTTTTTTTTTTTAATCACGAAAGATCATTTCTGCGAGCTGTTTTTTAACCTCAAAATGCCTGAGTTAAGGGAACTATTAATACAATCAAACAGAATTCCAATGAGAACCTATGAAACCATACAGATGATTAAGATATCACAGTGATACATTATGTCATAACCTTGGCAACTTGCATTCCTATCACAGATCCAGACAACAGCCAGGAGGACCCGCCTTAACTGAGCCGAACTTTGCTAAATCTAGGAACTCTCAGCTCGGTTCATGTAACTTACCTAGTTTTATTACTTCATTTGGTTTCTGAAGGTCAGAACTTTCCTAAATTGGCTAGGTACCAGTTGATTGGGGAAATACTAAGACAAATGAAATCTATGATCTGATGAGGTGGGATTCAGTGTGAAGAAAGGGGTATACATGAGCAGTAATATGATATGAAGTGCCTTTCATCCTCAGCAAAGTCTGTATATGACTCTTGACATGAGTCATTAAGAGGTAATTTTCTATTAGGCTCATTATAGCCATTTTCAAAGAGAATGCTTTGTAATTATACTTTGCATACAAAAGAGTATCATCCTACTGCAACAGAGAATAATTGAGAGATACTTTCAGAAAATTCTATTTACTTATAATCGTACTTTCTGGCCTAACTTTACTCCGCATTTTCTTATATTCTTTTATTTTCTCTTTGCTTTGATTCCCTCATTATTTTTTAATCATAACAATTATTTTATTTTATTATATTTTACTATATGTATTTTTGTAAGTTTTAAAAATGCTTTAAAGGCCAAGGCAGAGTATAAATAGAATAAGTGCAATTTAGAAACTCTTGTAAACTACAGTTAATAAATCAGCAATGACACACAGATCTAATAACTTTTGACACTTTGCTTTAATATCTAGAGTAAAAAAGAATGCTATTTTTCACCCCAAAACCTTGGCTGCTGAATATAATTTTCTTATCTAAACATCTTAAATATTTTCTACTCTAAGTTAACTGTACTATTTTTATTTTTTGAAACCATTATCACTAAACCTGGCAGAACTTAGCAACGTAAGAGAAAAAAAATTTTTTTGGAAACTCCAGCATATTTAACAATAATGAATAATCTTTCAAAAGTCTAAGAAACTGTTTTTAGGCACAAATGAATTACCTCTAGTTGCCTGTGGTGCATTGTTGAAGAGGTCAGGTAACAAGAGTTCTTTGTAATATAGTGCCACAGGCTCTATATGAAATCCAGTCACATAAATTCAGAACAAATATAAGAACTGATTTGGAAACAACTGAGAAAATTTGACAAAGCAGTCTTTTTCTCTTTTAATTTTCCCTTCCTTTACTATGTTCTTACGTATGGTATAATTAAAGAATTAAAGCAATTTTTACCGATATGTATGATGTGTTCAACATTTCACAGTGAGCAAAACTCTTATTTGGCTGCTGAAAATAGAATACAGTGTTATTTTAAAAATATTTCTGTAATATAATATGTGACAGCCAAAACATTATGCAAGGTGTCTCCTCAGCCCCACTACATTCTGCAGATCTCCACCGTTTGGGCACTATTTCAATTTGCATGCTTCCTCTGTGAGTTTCTTGAGCTGTCCTTATATGTACATTTCATATGCCCAACCATACTACAATCTTGTAGCAGCAGGGCCATCTTGTGTTTGTATTCTACCTATTCCTAGGTTCTAGTGTGGTAACACACACACACACACACACACACTGTGAGTGTTCAAGAAATATTAGGAAGAAATGGATTTGTTGATTTGTCTCAAAGAGGAAGAATATTTGGCATTAAGGCTTTCACTGTAGCCGCCTTGTTTTACAATGTGAAAGGTGCTTGTGAATACTATTCAAATTAGGGTTGATATGGAATTAGTCTGTTCTCACTTGATTGGATAATTTATGAAGAAAAGAGGTTTGACTGGCTCACAGTTCTGCAGACTGTACAGGAATTGTGATGCTGGCATCTGCTCAGCTTTTGGGGAGGCCTCAGGAAGCTTACAATCAAGGCAGAAGGTGAAGGGGGAGCAGACACATCACATGCCAGAGCAGGAGCAAGCAAGCGAGGAAGAAGATGCCACACACTTTAAAACAACTGGATCTCATGAGAACTCACTCATTATTGTGAAGACAGTACCAAGGGGAACGGTGCTAAACTATTCATGAGAAATCTGCCCCCATGATCCAACTACTTTCTGCCAGGCCCCACCTCCAAAACTGGGGATTACATTTTGGCATGAGATTTGGGTGGAGACAACATCCAAACTGTATCATTACTATTCATGCTAGCTTTCTTGATCAATCAGTGACACATAGGGTGGAAGAGGCAGTCACTGTTAAAAGATTCACAACAAGGAAAACATGCGAAAGAAATCCTTTGATGAGTGAGAGGGCTGCCTGGTTCCCATTCCAGGAGCTCATGGTTCTAATTCCTCAGCTTGCCAATAAATCTGGATTGCAACTAGTAATATATTAAAGAGTTCCAGTGGCTCAAAAAGAAAACAAGACTCCTAAACATGAATCATTATTTGGTTCCTTCATTAAGACTGCAATCACAGATATCAATAATGTTTCATTCAGTTGTGTAGTACATAGTAATTGAGATCTGACGTTGATCAGTACTTAGGTTGATCAGGACTTAGGAATCGTACCACTCATGAAACTAGGGAGCCTGTTTAACCATTTCACCTGTAAGGAGGAACTGTGAAAATAAATTTCCTCGGGTTGATGTTTCTACAGATTTTGCAGGCTTAGTCACAGGATGCACGGGTGCAGGAAGTTTCTTCTGAAAAGGATGGGGTTGTGGAAGCAGCAGCCCATGGGGAGTGAGGCGGCCTTCTAATCCCATTGTGCCCTTGACCAACTGTGAGGCCAATCAAGTTGCTTCCCCTTTCTATGCCTCACTCTGCTGTGAGACCTATTTTGTCACTTACTGGGGATTTTACCTCGCACTTAACATCATGGCATTTAGCTCAGCCCAACGCTTCAGCCACAGTTACCCACATCTGGTTCTGACACACACTTTGCATTTTACTTTTCACATGCCTTACTGTCTTTGCCTGGAATGCTCCTCCATCGCATGTCCACCTCTGTGGCTGACACAGACTGTTGCCTGACCAGTAGTTCTTCCCACCATTTTCTCTCTGCTGTCTTTTCACTAGAGAAGCTAGAATAGCTGTATCCTAATTTTCCAGCCTGTCGTTTACCTAGTGATATAAAATGTAATGATTAAGTTTTGGTCAATGAGACAAAAGCAGAGTCCTCCTGGAAAGCTTTACCCTTTCCTGGCTGTGACTGCCCTTCTTCTTCCTGACTAAATAAGGATATATCTGGAGCTTCAAAAGCTGTTTGCAACCATCAGGCGTAAGCATGAGAGGAACACTGAGACTCACACACACCTTGATGTTTTCTAGCTGCTAAATAAGCTCTGGCAGCTACATACCTCTAGACTTTTTCTATGTGAGAAGAATAAGCCCCCAATTTACTTAAGCCCGTGTAAGGGCTTCCTATGACTTCTGGTCAAAAGCATTCCTAATTCTAAGTTGGCACTTAGGAGACCAGCTCCTCTCTATGGCCTTTTCTTTGTACTTCATTGATAAACTTCTTTGGGAGCTTGTAATTTTTTACCCTTAATAGGGGGCTCATTTTGATCTGCAGCTCTTTGCACAATGCTTAGTGTATAACACATTAATAAAAACTCAAATATCTGATGAAGAATTAGGGAGTTCTGACACTACATCTGATATGCATTTGGGCATCACTTTAGCCTTTTCTCAAGTTTTATAATAACATATTTCTTAATTTGTAAGAGGGATACCTCTGAATACAATTTTCTCTTGCATTTCAACACTGAATATTTATTAGGTTGGTGCAAAAGGAACTGTGGTTTTTGCATTGTTGGAATTTGCTGTTTGACACTGGAATACATTCTTGAATAAATGTGGTTATATTATACATCATTTTAATGGGCAATTCTCAGTTTATTTTTTCTTTTTGCTAATGACTTGCTGTTTACGTTTATTTTAGACTATGGAAATGATGTCAGACAAAAAGCACATTTGAGCAATTTTCTTATTTGAGCTCAAAATGGGTCAAAAAGCAGCAGAGACAACTTGTGACAATGCATTTGGCCTACAAACTGCTAACGAACGTACAGTGCTGTGGTGGTTCAAGGAGTTCTGCAAAGGAGATGAGAGCCTCGAAAATGAGGAGCCTAGTGGCCAGCCATTGGAAGTCATCACCGACCAATTGAGAGCAATCATGGAAACTCATCCCCTTACAGCTACCCAAGAAGTTGCCAAAGAACTCAATGTTGACCATTTGATGGTCATTCAATTTTTGAAGCAAATTGCAAAGGTGAAAAACTTCGATAAGTGGGTGCCTCATGACTGAGCAAAAAAAACCCAAAAAATTGTCATTATGAAGTGTTGTCTTCTCTTATTCCATGCAACAGTGAACCATTTCTTGATCACATTGTGATGTGTGATGAAAAGTGGATTTTATACGACAACGGGCGATGACCAGCTTAGTGGCTGGACTGAGAAGCTCCAAAGCACTTCCCAAAGCCAAACTTGCACCAAAGAAAGATCATGCTCACTGTCTGGTGGTCTGCTCCACTACAGCTTTCTGAATCCCGGCAAAACCGTTTCATCTGAGAAACATGCTCAGTAAATCCAGGAGACGCACTGAGAACGGCAATGCCTGCAGCCGGCACTGGTCAACAGAAATGGCCCAATGTCTCCATAATGACCCTCGACTGCTGGTCGCAAAACCAACACTTCACAAGTTGAACAAACTGGCCTCATCCACCATATTAGTCTGACTTCTCGCTAACCGACTTCCACTTCTTCAAGCATCTCGACAACTTTTTGCGGGGAAAATGCTTCCTTGACTAGCAGGATGAAGAAAATGCTTTCCAAGGGTTTGTAGAATCCCGAAGCATGGATTTTTACACCACAGCAAAAAATTATTTCTTTTTGGCAAAAACGTGTTGATTGTAATAGTTCCTATTTTGATTAATAAAGATACAGTTGAGCCTAGTTATAATAATTTAAAATTTATGGTCAAAAACCGGAATTACTTTTGCACCAACTTGCTACATAGGTACTGCGCTAAGCAGTAGGAATAGAGATAAGACAGAATTTCTGCTAACTGTGTATGTGTGATATGTGCCCTAATAAAGGTAAGAATAGGTGCTTCCTCAACATCTGCTTATCTCCTGCTTTACCCAGAAACTGGCTGGCAGGCTTGGCACATAAACTCAACTTTCCACCCTCTCATACTCCACCTTACCCTCTTCTCCTTCATTCCACTCCTGTAAAACGAAACACCATTCCAGCTGTGCTCTCAGGTACCACTTTTCACCTCTCATGGGGTCCTGCTCTAGCAGTTATCTACTTTCATGTTTTAATAACCAAATTTCCGGTGGGAGGTGGAGGGGGTATCTATACTCGTGGGAGCAATTTACTCACTTCTGATTCATGTCTCAACCCCCACAATCTGGGTTCTGCCGTAACCACTTGACTAACAATGCTGCTCTGGTAACGGCACCAGAGGTCTCTACACTGCCCTCTTCATGAACTGGATATTGCTTAGACAAGCCACCCTGCTGGCCACAGCTACCTTCCCCAAACATATGACTATCTTGACTTCTGCACCACTACTCTTTACTTGGGCTCCTCCCATTTCTTAAACCCTACAGTAGGTAGCCAAGAGACCAGGCGGGGGTCTCTGAGACCTTTCACGGATCCACCAGGAAAACTATTTTCTTTTTTTTTTTTTTTTTGAGACGGAGTCTTGCTCTGTAGCCCGGGCTGGAGTGCAGTGGCCGGATCTCAGCTCACTGCAAGCTCCGCCTCCCGGGTTCACGCCATTCTCCTGCCTCAGCCTCCCGAGTAGCTGGGACTACAGGCGCCCGCCACCTCGCCCGGCTAGTTTTTTTTGTATTTTTAGTAGAGACGGGGTTTCACCGTGTTAGCCAGGATGGTCTCGATCTCCTGACCTCGTGATCCGCCCGTCTCGGCCTCCCAAAGTGCTGGGATTACAGGCTTGAGCCACCGCGCCCGGCCAGGAAAACTATTTTCATAGTTATCAGGAAGACATTGCATTCTCTTATGAGCATACAGGTGAAGTTACTAGATACTAAGTGACACGTGATATAGCAACAAATTGTAGTTAGCAACAAATATAAGCACCCAGTTGTCTTCTATTAAGCCAAACATGAAAGAGACATGCACAAGTGTCAAACTATCTTGGCTCTTCTTCAGCCAGCTCCTTCAATTTTGATGTTCCCTAGAACAGCATCTGTAGCTCACTAATTTTCTCACCTTAAACTAGGATTTCTCAATCTTGGCACGACCAACCCTTTGGGCCAGCTAATTCTTTGTCAGTGGGGGCTGTCCCCCGTGCATCCCCGGCCTCAGACACCATCCCCCGTGCATCTCTGGCCTCAGACACCTAGCACCCACTTTCCAAGTTATGGCAACCAAAAATGTCTTCAGATACTGTCAAATAAAATCACCCCAGGATGAGAACTACTAACCTAAATAGTATTCCTAGATAATTCATCTAATATCTAGGTTTTAATTTGACTTACGATGATAATTCCACTTATCAAGTACCTATTCTGCACCAGGGACTATCCTAAGTACTTGATGTGCATTAACTCACAACAGTGGTGCTGACTACAGCCCCCATTAACAAAGAATTAGCTGGCCCAAAAGGTTGGTCGTGCCAAGATTGAGAAATCCTAGTTTAAGGTGAGAAAATTAGTGGCTACTGATGCTATTCTAGGGAACATCAAAATTGAAGGAGTTGGCTGAAGAAGAGCCAAGAAGACAAAGTTTAAGAATGTGGTTCTTGGCCAGGCACGGTGGCTCACATCTGTAATCCTAGCACTTTGGGAGGCTGACGTGGGCAGATCACCTGAGGTCAGGAGTTGAAGACCAACTTGGCCAACATGTTGAAACCCCGTCTCTACTAAAAATACAAAAATTAGCTAGGCACAGTGGCAGGTGCCTGTAATCCCAGCTACTCGGGAGGCTGAGGCAGGAGAATCACTTGAACCCGGGAAGTGGAGGTTGCAGTGAGCCAAGATCGCGCCATTGCACTCCAGCCTGGGCAACAAGGGCAAGATTTCAACTGGAAAAAAAAAATGTGGTTCTTAAACTTACTGGTCTCAGGACCTTTTTACACTGTGTGAGATGGATCAATTATGACTCTCATTTTATGAAGAAACTACAGAACAGAGAGTGATGTGACTGGCTCGGGGTCACACAGAGCTGCTGTTGCTGACTATTGCGGTGCTGACCACTCCTCTGAGCCTCAGAGCCCTGTGATTAACCACCTCTGCTGGGCATCCCAGGGGAAATTTACACCCAGGATACCCTAAAAATGAACTAAAAAACCCTTTCTCCACAAGACCTAGTTCTGCATTACCTAAGTCAGTTAAATGTGCAAGTTTAAATTCACCCTCTCTGTGCTTTAGCTTCACCAGAAACCTGGATGCCATTCTAAACTCTGCTTGGATTCTCTTTTCCTTAGTCCTCAATCCAATCATTCTAGTTCTAACAATTTTCCCTTGTAATGATTTCTCAAATACAACATTTTTCTCTATCTTCCCCTATTCCGGTCCTTACTAGCGTCCTAACCTCTACTCTGCACTGCTGTAATCAACTCCCATTTGATGTCCTTGGCCCCTCAAAATCATCTTCTACAATGCTGCCAGAGTGATCTATCAAAAAATGCAAACCTGGTCACGTCATGTTAGTGGCTGCCTGTGAGCTAAGGGTAAAATCCAGGGTCCTCAGCACAGCCCCCAGATCCTCAAATCAATGGCCCTCTCCAACCTCAGTGCCTTCCTGTCACCCCCTGTATCATACTTCTCTCTCTGGCAGTGCTGTGCTGTTTGCCTGCCTGAGCACACCACGCTGCTTCATGCCTTTGATTCAACGTCACCCCTTGGGAGGCCTTCTAGATTCTACACCCTGTGCATCCTTCTGTCACAACACTTAACCTATCACAGAGATAGTCTGTGATAACTATCTCTGTACCTGTGTCCCACATAGGCCTGTAATGCCATTGATAACAGGTGCCTAGCTTAGCTCAAAAATCTCAACTTTGTCTCTCCAGGGCCTGGTATAGCAGGGGTCCCCAACCCCGGGGCCATAGACCTGTCAGTACTGGTCTGTGGCCTGTTAGGAACCAGGCCACACAGCAATTGAGTGGTAGGTAGGTAAGTGTGCACCATGGCCTGAGCTCCATCTCCTGTCAGATCAGCTGCGGCATCAGATTCTCGTAGGTGCACCTACTGTACTGCGCATGCGAGTGACGCAGGTTGCATGCTCCTTATGAGAATATGAGGTGGAACAGTTTCATCCTGAAACCCTCCCTTGACCCGGTCCATGGAAAAGTCATCTTCCATGAAATTGGTTCCTGGTGCCAAGAAGGTTGGGGACTGCTATGGTATAGCACTAGGCAAAGTACGCTTCAGAGAAGTTTCGTAGAAGCACTGAGGTAAAAGAATGACACACAGCAATGAGACCTGTTTGGGTGGCGGGAGGGATGGGAGTGGAGGCTGTGGGATGAAGAGAGTTGGGAAAACTTTTGTTCAGAGAAGGTCACAATTGAGCTGAATCTTGAAGGAAGACGAGGCACTCTAGACAGGATAAAGGTCCCGCTGGATAGAACAGTACTTGCAAAGGCCTGGAGGCACAAGAGGACGTGGCACATTTAGGAAACTGCAACAGATGATGACAGAGGACAGGATGCACATGGGGGACTTGGGCTGAGACTGGAGGAGCAGACAGGGCTCCTGCTATCAAAAAGTGGCCTATATTATAGGTCTTGCAAGAGGGTTCCAAATTATTTATTTCACTACTCCAATTACTTTAGGCACCACAATTCGCAGGTCATTAAAAAATGTGTACTAGTCTACTTTGGATTACTTATTCAGCACTACCTGTGTTAGTTTTGATAGGTAACTTAACCTCTCTGTGCCTCAGCTGCCTTACAGGGTAATAAAAATAGTACCTACCTCACAAGATTATTGTCAAAACAAAGGTGTTAACAGACGTGAAGAACATAAGATAGCAGTGGTACACAGAATTGATAGTGGATGTTGTGTTGCCATTGATTTGCCATTAGTGACAAACAGCTGCTGGGATTAGAAAGGAGGAAGGGGTTGTTCTTGAAATTCACAAGACAGAGCCTTAATGTAAAAGAAAGACATATTTTATAACAAGTAAGTTTATCTAGGGAGGTAATAGTAGCAGGAATCTAGGTTTTTAGGTCCATGATCTCAGGCCACAGTATAAAACGATTACCAGACTCCTTTGGATAATATATTCATAGTTGGATAATAAATTTAGCTTAAAAGTATATGCTTATAAAGTATAATTTGACCAATTATTTTCTGAACGCATATGATCTTACAGTTGCCCATACTGAAGCCCATTTTCAATTTTCTGCCTTTCAGGTACAGCCTTGAATGGTTTTCCTAAAGTTTGAATGATTTTCCTGTTGAGTTTCGTGAATGATTTTCCTCTTCAGTTGGCAATTACTCATTTGAAAACACCTGGGCCTCATTTGCTCATAAATCATTTCCAAACAGAATTTCAGAAACGGAAGGGTCCTTAGAGATTGTCTAGTCCAACAGTCTATTTCATAAACAAGAAAACTGAAATACGGAGATTAAGTAACTTGTCCAAGTTATAGTCTTCGAGGGTTCCACCTTGACTTTCCTACGTGCTCTCACATAAGACTCTTCCCGCCAGGGTGAACTGCCTGCTGATTCCAAGTCCTTGTGTACCCCGAGTAAGCTTTATGACAAACTCTCTCACTCCAGACTACGGTGAAATCAAATGGTTTCCATGTATTTAACTTGCATATTTCATGTGTTTCCTCAACAGACTTGGTTAAGTACTTGATGCTAGATGTTTGGTTAATTCTTGCTAAAGTTCCACCAGTATGCCTATTATTACACTCTTTATTCTCCAGAGTCAAAGTCATTAAGTAAAATCATTCTCTCCCATGAAATTTAACCACTTAACTGGGTGGATACAACCTCAGGGGCATGACCCAGATGCTGTTTTCAAATCTGCAGGGTGAGTATATTTTCTAGGTGGGTTTCTAAAAATTTGAGAATCGTTGCTTAAGAGGCTTAGTGTTCCTGTCCTCTGACAGAGGTTGTACTGGGCAGACCCATCTCAGGGCCTGCCAGCTCACACACCTGGTGGAGGGCGGCCGACCTAACCAGGTGTGTTCCAAGGGTAGGCTCTGCTCTTATGACATCCAATCCACAGTCTGGCCAGTCACCTAAGGGGGCCTTGGGGTAAAGAGATGAGTTGATCCAATCAGATTCTTTCTCATAGGAATATGGCTCAAACTCAGAGAGGAGCAGGTAGTTAGTAAAAACGAAACAAAACAAAAAACAAACCTAAAAAAAATGCAGAGAGAGAATCCATAAGAAAATGATGGGTCACAACCAGCAACACTGTGAAAGCAGAGGCTCTGAATTACAAAAAACATACAAAGAGTAACAACAAAAGACTCAGAGGCAAACAGGGAAGTGGGGAGGCGTGGGAAAAAGTGAATGTGTTATATTAAAGATGTAAGAGTTTAGGCCCTCAGTATTCTGCTGTCAAGGTCCAGTAAGCCGGATCTCTGTCTGGTGAGCCAGGATAAACTGAGGTTTCAGCTCTAAAGCTTGAGACGCTTTTTCCTTTACCGCTACGCGTTTCCACCGTACCCTAAACAGAATGGATTTGATTCTTGCAACCAAAAGAACTCATTACGACACCCAGGAAATTTTAGGGAGGTGCTAGAGTGTGCCTTCAGCTTTGCCGCTGTGTGCAACTCACTGGCCACTTCCACTCTCAACTCTTCCAGCTCAAGGGAAGTTTTACATATGCAACACATTGGCCTTAACTTCACCAATGGCTGATTTCCATCCTTTTTTTCTCTTCTGCAGAAACATAACACTAATCATGCTCGTAGAACAACTACCAAGATAGTCTTTAGGGGGAAAACGTCACAGGTCATGAACGTCTTCCCTGATAGAAACAAGGGCTCCTCCCCGAGGTCACAGAGGCCACACCTGTAGGTAAGAGCACGCTTTTCGATGGCGGAGCCCGGTCCTTGCCTCGCGGACGCCGGCGCAGGAGCTCCCGCGGCAACCCGCATCCCCGGTCCCCGGCCCCTGGCCCCCGGTCCCCGGTGCCCGCTGGGTCACCTGTAATTGTAGGAGCTGAAACGCTTGCTCTCTCTCAGCATCGCCCGGTACAGATCTAACACTTGTGCGCGACTGGAGGCTGCCATTTTGGAAAGAAAAAAAATTAACGGGTCCTCTTCGCCGAGGTCCCAAGTACGACCCAACCTCGGAACTCCAGCCTGTGCAGAAACCACGCACGAAATAAAATGCAGCGGCTCGACCTTGCCAGCGGGCCGGTCCTAAGCCTAAGCCGGCAGCCCTGCGGACCGCAGACCGCACCGGGCGTCCCGCGCCGCTTCGGGGGCGGGCGAAGGCAGGGCTCGGGGCAGCTAAGGGGGCGGTGCAGGGAGGGAGATGCCTCCGCCCCGCCCCGCTCCCGCCTCCGCCCCCGCCGGGAGGCTCGGGATCCAGCAGCCGCTCCACGCGGCCGGAGGGCGAGGAAATAAGAGGCCCGGCCGCCTGTGCATCCAGCCAAGCTCCTGGGGGACGGATATTGGAGGTCCGGGCATTCGAGGGACGTGCAGTTGCATCACGGAGAGCCTTTGCGAACCGTCTGGGGTTTTGGCGGAGACATTTGTGTTTCGGGGCGCAGCGCCCCTTTGTACCTTTAGAAGGCCGCGTTGCCCGGGTTACCGAAGGCCGCCGCGTCGACGCCCCGCCCCTGACAGCCGATGCCCCGCCCACGCTGGCTGCGGCCGCCCTCGGCGCTGCCTGAGAGACCTTGCGGGATTTCAAGGGTGACTTAACTTCGCCCGATCATGGTCGGCAGGGTGGGGTTTATTGGCATTCCTTGGGCCGGGGGATGCGACGTCTGGGTGTGGAGGTGATGAGACAGGGGTTCCGTGGCACTCCGGCTCTGCTCAGGGCGACCTGCGTAGGGGCCTCCGGGGCAAGGCCCGCTTTCTGTCAAAATGGCAGCGCCCAGCGTGCACGGGTATCTCTGAAGTTGGGGTTTAAGATTCTTGCCCGTGAGAGCCAACGAGCCTGCAGTGCTTCTGGTTTTGAAACACCTGGGTCTGGGTTTCCTGGGCGAGCGGTGGGTGAGTGCCGACCTCGTTGCAGCCTGGGGTAGGACGTGGGCGGTTCGTGTGGTTAGGGGGTTACATTGGCCATGGATTTTTTCCTCTTTCCGGATGTGTTTTTGCTTTTGAGTGAAGAGTCCCCGTGGTTTTGTAATCTAATAAATGCGTAAAATGCAGCTTGGGCTGTAGACTTTGGAGAGTAATTAGAGCCCGTTAGGGCTTTAGGCGTTCTCCAAGAAGCGGAGCAAGTTTTCAACCATGGCTTTCTTCAGAAGACTTCAACTTTTTTGAATCATTTTATTAAAGTGGTGGATAAACTTGCTTGTTCTGATCTTTGAGCATGGGACTGGACGCTGGAAGCTTCAGCCAGTTCTAGTTACTGTGTTTGCAAAGCACTTTTCTTGTTTTTGGAATCTTGCTTTATGTAATCAACCTTAGGAAGAACCACACCTTTCTGCACTCGAGCACAGAGGGGAGTACCTTATGCGTAAAAACAAAACAACTTTGCATTAAAATCCATCTTTCTCCCAACCACTTGGTCACGGTTGTGTTCTCATCTGCTTTAGTGTATTTGGTTTTAAAACGATAAACCTGCTGTATATCTAAGCAACTTTATATTTTCAGGAACTTTTTTTTCCTTTCTTTTATTTTTTTTGAGATGGAGTCACTCTCCGTCGCCCAGGCTGGAGTGCAGTGTCAGGATCTCGGACTCACTGCAACCTCCGCGTCCCGGGTTCAAGCTATTCTCCTGCCTCAGGCTCCCGAATAGCTGGGATTACAGGCGCGCGCTACCTTGCGGAGCTAGATTTTGTATTTTTAGTAGATACGGGGTTTCACCATGTTGGTCAGGCTGGTCTCGAACTCCTGACCTTGTGATTCGCCCGCCTCAACCTCCCAAAGTGCTGGGATTACAGGCCTGAGCCACCACGCCTAGCCTCTATTTTCAGGAACTTTAAAGGCAGGAAACACTTCTCTGACCTTACCATTCTTTAGTGTACTTGCAACCTGGTGTCCTTGCATCCAGATATTCTTATTGATCCTGATGCAGTGACATTTTTTAAAAGGCACTGAAGAGAAAATACTTTCATTAAGATACCTTTAAGTCTCCTCCCTGACTTCTTGACAATCTCATGTCTGTGATTTTGTTTTTGTTTTTTTGTTTTTTTTTTAAAACAGGATAGCAAAACTTCTATTACTTCCTGGTTGGTCAGGTCGTTGAGCAAATCTAGTCTCGGGTTTATTGAAAAGACTTTTTTGAATTTTCCCTTTAGTATTTCTTAAAGGATCCAAGACCAAGGCAATTGCACATTGTTACAGAGTAAGATTCAGAGCTGATTTCTCTTGATACACTGTTGTGTGCTGGTGATATGAAATGATATGCGGCACCTCAAAGCTGCAACATTAATGCAAGTTGCTGATAGGGAATGCTATCAGAGTGAAAAAGAAAAACTTGAAGATTATTTTGGCATGTTTAAAAATAGCAAGGATTACATTATTTATATTTTGCTTTTGAGAGTAAAGTTGGAATAATTACTATATACAATTGTTTCTACCTAATTATCAAGGAATTTAATCACTAATGTATGTGGTATATCTAAATGAATCTACTTTGTTGTAATCAAATAAAACTTTTCCAAATAAATATGTATAGTTTAAATAGTTTGGGTAGCTTAATCCTCCGTTAGTACGAGCAATGGTTGCAGTTAGGAAAGTGATAGCTTCCCAGTTAATTCTTAGCCAAGTCTTCACACAAATTATTTTATTTAAAATGGTTTACCAATGTGTTGGACATCATTACCTGGAGAAACTAAAAGAAAATAATCATTCCGAAGCTACGTCTCACTTTTGCACATCTTCACTGCGGAGATTATGTAAAAAAAAAGAAACAAAAAAAACTGTATTTGAGATTGTAAGTAGAATTGGGCCAGAAACTGAAGAATGGACCTTACACATATGTCCTTTAATATGCATTCTATTCTGGGTTGAAATTTTTCTTAGCGAATATCTGTAAAGTCGGAGGTACCATTTAGGCATCAAAACATAAAAATTTCTTTAGTATTCGTTTATCGAAAGTTACCAACTACCTGTAGTTCTTTATGTAAGATCATTTATTACCTTCTATTAAAATTAGGGTTGTCAATGACCACTTAATGCTTCGTGAAGAGAAATTTCTCTAATCATAATAAACAGTGTAACAACAATTTGCTGTCCTTAAGCTTAAATATCAAAATGATGTATAAAGTAAAATTTATATAGTAGTAGTAATTTATGATATTATTTTGAAATTATTCAGCTGGGCATGGTGGCTTACACCTGTAATCTCAGCACTTTGGGAGGCTGAGGTAAATGGATTGCTTGAGCCCAGGAGTTTGAGACCAGCCTGGGCAACATGGCAAAACCCCATCTATACAAAAAATACATCATAGCGAAACCTCATCTCTACACAAAAAATACAAAAATTAGCTGGGTGTGGTGGCATGTGCCTGTAGTCCCAGCTACTTGGGAGGCTGAGGTGGGAGGATTGCTTGAGCCCTGGAGCTTGAGGCTGCATTGTGCCATGATCACACTACTGCACTGTACCCTGGAAAAAAAAGAAACCCCTTCTCACCCAAAAAAAAAAAAAAAAAAAAGAAAAAAGAAATTATTCTATTCTACACCACACATGAATCCAAGTATGATACATTGGTCCTTCATTTTAATAGAACATGAAGGGGAAAGACCTTAGATATCAACTCATTCGTTTGTACAGATGAATAAACTGAAGTCTTTTTCCTCGTTCATTCATTCCTTCAGCATTTATTGAACACTTCCTGAGTACTATAGGTTATGGTTTTTCTTTTTTTTTTTTTGAGACAGAGTGTCACTCTTGTTGCTCAGGCTAGAGTGCAATAGTGCGATCTTGCCCGGCTAATTTTTTGTATTTTCAGTAGAGATGGAGTTTCACCATGTTGTCCAAGCTTGTCTTGAACCCCTGACCTCAGGTGATCCACCTGCCTGGGCCTCCCAAAGTGTGGGAATTACAGGCGCAAGCCATCGCACCCAGCCCATGAGTACCATATGTTATATAAGACGATATAGTTACAGTGATGAGAGCCTCCCCACCCCTAAGAAACTTGTACGTGACTAGATAAGCCAAACAATAATTTATTTTATAGAGACAGGGCCTCGCTCTGTTTACTAAGCTGGAGTGCAGTGGTGCGATCGTATCTCGTTGTAACTTCAAACTCCTGTGCTGAAGTGATTTTCCTGTCTCAGCCTCCTGAGTAGCTAGGCCTACAGGCTCATGCCACCATGCCTGACGAATTTTTAAGTTTTTTTTTTTTTTTTGGTAGAGATGAGATTTCACTATGATGTCCAGGGTGGTCTCAAACTCCTCAGTGCCTCTCCTGTCTTGGCCTCCCAAAGAGCTCAGATTATAGTTGTGAGTCATGGCACTTGGCCAGTAATTTATTTTTGACAGTTGCTGTGATATGAGTAATATTAGCAAACACTAAAGGAATACAGAAGAGGAATACTGAGCCAGGACTTTCACCTAAGGGAAGGCTTTTCCAGAATGAGACGTAGAATTTTCAGAATCAGAATGAGAAGTAGAAGGTGTTTCCAGAATGAGAAGTAAGAGCCAGTTGAGGAATGTGGTTGAAGATTGCAGTGTATATTCCAAGCATGGAGGAAGAAAGGTGCTTGATCTATTTAGAGAACTCTAAGTGTTTTAGAATGGTGGGAGGTGGGAAGGGAGGGAGCACTGCAGTGTTTAGCCCTGTATTAGCTTTATTTTAGCGATGTTGTGTCTCTTTGTGGAATAAATTATTTTTTCCCTTATGCATTGGCTGAGTCATATAACTAGAACTTAACAGCTGAAATGTTGAAATGGAGATTATTTATTTATTTGGGTACTGATAACCTTTTGTTTCAAATCATGAATTTGAATCCTATATTCCAGGGGCACTGAAATGTTATTTATTTACCTGTGCATTCAGGAGATAGCTGGCAGCCTAGCAATTCAAGTTACTGTTCTTGTGGTAACTTGAGGGCGATATATAAATCAAACACTGATCCTGTTTTCCAGAACTTTATAGTTTAAATGCATTTGTATATGATTAAAATGAGGTATTAGGTTGGTGCAAAAGTAGCTGCAGTTTTGACCGTTACTTTTAATGGTAAAAACTGCAATAACTTTTCCACCATCCTGTACAAAGTGCTGCAAGGAAAGGGCTGGTGAAGCGTTGTGGGGTCTCAGTGCAACGAGAGGTCACTTCCTTCCCCGATGCTTGGGCCACACCTCAGACCAACAGCATGGCTA